TTTTTTTTTTTTTAAAAAACAGTAATAACTATCTATTGGGACCCTATAAAAAGCTGAGGAGTTGTTTCTTGTTAAGAGTTACCAAAAGCAGCATTTCAGGCAGAGGAGCTTCCTCAGGCAAAATACATTTCTAGGAAAGTTAAACAATTTTGGTAAGATTGTTGCAAAGTTATTTATGGGCGGGAGAGCACTTTGTAGCATACCAAATTAAATAAGTTGATGGCTCGCTGACCTTGCGTTGGTCTATAGATATTGCTAGAAAAAGTGGGGAAGAAAAGTTGGCCAACTTCACAGTGTTGGGTTTTTCTCCTAGAAAAAGCAACTGCTTCCTAAGAGAAATTGAGGGTGAATGCTGAAATATCTGGAGACTCGTAACAAACTTTGTAACATTGGTTCCACGTACAGCACTGTTTCCCCTGTTGACGAGCGCTGAAAAAACCCAACAGACATTCTGCAGCTCTGCCAAATATTTAATTCTGCACTGGGGAAAGACTGCAGGGAATTGATTTGATTCAGTGAAATCACCAAAATGCCAGAACAGTTGCAATTATTTGCAAACATTGATTTAAAAAAAGTGTTTTAAAAAGGCAGATAAGTACAAAGGGAGGTCAGACTGCTGTCTGAGTGAACACCTATCTGCAGGTATATTCAAGTAAGTTGTAATAACAGGCTGCAGTGAGTTGCAAAAGACGACCCTGTTGTGATTATGGTTAAGATCAAACTCAGCTCTCTGGAGAAGGCTCTAATTCTGGGAAAGGTGGAAGGAAAGAGACGAGGACGCAGCAGCAAGGTGGATGGACTCAGCTACAGTGGCAATGGAAGAATTGAAGGACAAGGTTTTCATGGAGAAATTCTATCTATGGGGTCCCCAGGGGTTGAAAATGACTTGAGGGGACATAATCAATCAATCAATCAAAAATCACAAACTGTGATTACATCAACAGTTCAAGGGTATCATGGAACATCTGCACTGAAAACTATGTGGAGCTAAGGCTACATCAGCCCTTCCCAATCAGATGTGTCAATCTCAACTTCTAGAAATTCATCAGTGGTCTTGCTACCTGAAGATGCTGGAACTGCAGGCACCAGGAGATGAGGAAAGCTGGCTTAGATGACCCTGAGCTCCTTTTAAATTCTCTACAGTAGTAGTTCAGAACTAAATATCCCCAAATAGCAAACCCTCAAAATTTAGAACGACCAAGTTGCCATGAGAGCAGCATCCCAGGCTAGGAATGAATTTATCCATCATTCATGGTTAAGTGTATCATGATAACCTTCATAATTCCAATTTTGTAGGTTCACATAGCAGATTAATCATCTTGGCTAGACTACCATTAAAATGTGTTTGGCTAACTTGTGGCTCAGTGTGTCATGTGAATGCTGCTTAGATGCCACAGTCTCACTCTTATGTTGTGGTTATTATTTCCTCGGTCTGGCATTCTCCAGCTGTCCTGAAGTCACCAAATTTCTGGTTGGTGGCAGGTTCTCTGTTCTAAGTTATACTTCCAGGAATTATTTGCAAGGTTTAAGATTCATGGTTGACCCGTCGGGCAATTCTAAAGCAACCCTACTCCAGTTCAGTTTGGACCAAGCCAAACTTCCAGTTGTTCTTATCTTGGAGATAAATGCAAATGATGTGCTACCAGTTTTGCAGAGTGACATCTAATCCAGCCGGACCCTTGGCCAAAAAGGAAGAAAGAAAGAGAGAACTTTTTGTTCGCTTAATACCTTACAAAACCATATTTATACAAGACAGAAACATGGATACCAACATCTGCGACAGTGATCAATATTTGGACAAATGATCTGACTTTGTAACTTGCTTCACCCGCACGCACAGAGCAACTCTGGAAAAATATGTTAGGAGCGCAAAGCCGGATAACTGACAGGAAAGTTATTTGATTAACAGGAAGATATAATTTATACCCTGCGAGAGATCCGTGTGAACTTCAAGATAACAGCCGTGATTCATCCAAGTTTACTTCTTTGGGAGGAGTTGTGTGTGTGGGGAGGCAACGACAGGTCACCCCAAATCACATCGTGTCAAGCAATTAGCCGCATACCATGCATTGTTTAATGAACTTCTTAATGGGTCCAGTGTTCCCTCTGCCTGTCTGTGTGTGTTTTAACCCAGTCGGAGCTGCTCCTGCCTGATAAACAGATGAGGAACAGAAATGCCTGTGCTGGGCATCAAATGCGGCTTTGACATGAAGTTACCTGTCAAAAAGAGCCCCAGCGCTGTAGGCTGGGGCATCGGCCAGGCACCAGCACTTCGCATTCCGCTCTTCCAAAAACCTACCGGATTCGGGCTACTTGGCAGGCAACTGGGGGCTGCCACGGGAAGCGGGTAACTCGCGTCTTGGGCAGCGGGAAACTTCCCACCCG